ATACCATTTCTTACCATATATATTTCATAGCATACTTTTGAACGTTCTTTCAACGGACTTTGCAATAATCGCAATTTCTGGCATCAATTTAAAACTTTTAAAGTAATTATTGAATAAGAAATAATAATATTTTAAATACAAACACTTAAATAAAGGGTACGAAATTTTACAACGATTTTTATATTTCCCATCTAAAGGGTACTAAGCCCAACTATAGCTTTTCCATAGATTTCCATGATTCTGGCGGCTTCAAAACAAAAATCCTGTCAGCGGTACGAGATGGGGGAACGTGAGAGCGGTGGGGGGCAAGCAGGGAGAGGAAATCAAACACAAGGGCTCTCCATAGAAATTTCAATTTCACTTTTGCAGGTGAGCAAAGCTTGCGCTCTCCGAGAGAAAGACTCGAAAAGAGAGCGGCGGTCATGCGCCGGGGAGAGCTTAGGGGTTGCCACCGCATCTGCTCAGGGTTGCTGCACGGCGTTTCGCTGCGGCAGCATCCAGTTGGAGTCCAGTTGGAAAATGTACGCGCACTCAAACGCAACAAAAAGCGCGTGACTGTAGGCGGCGAGTCGCACGGAAAGCACACTATAAATTCGGTTTTGACAAAGACTTAACTCACACACTCGCACTCGAACAGACACACACACACACACACAAATATACCCATACGAATGCGTCGCGTGCTGTCCCCACAACGCCCCACCTTCCCCCTCCGCTGTGCGTGTCAGTGAAAGAAAGCGAAAAAAGTGGCCAAATTGCCAAAAATATAAAAGTAAAAGAAAATAGAGAATATAAAAGGCAGGCAAAAAGTGTTTTGGTGAAGCAAATCAATTTAAAAAGTGAATTAGTAAATTAAAGTGTTTGCAATTAAAACCTAAGCCAATAAGTAATTAATGTGTACATAGCCTACAATGCACTTTCGTGTATTGATCTGGCGAAATTGACCTTTTGGGCCAGAACCCCCTCTCGGAAAACTTCACCCCCCTTCAAGAGGAAAAGAAACAGCAACAAGCTCTTCATTTCCTTTTCTTTTTTGGGATAATTAGCAAAGTGGAATGGAATAATCAACCGTTATGCTCTGTCGCCAAGTGAAATGCAACTGCAGCTGAGAACCGCTATTCAGTCAAGTGGCAACAAAAAAGCAAGCGAAAAAGGGAGCAGCTGAAGGCAAAAAAAAAATGCGAAAAGAAAAGGGGCGAAGGGCGAAAAGAGAGAGTAGGGGGGAGTAGAGGGGAGGACTGGAAAGCGCACTATTGACATATATACGCGCAGTCACAAAGCGAATGCCGCGATTGGAGCGAAAGAGAAGCAAAGGAAACGCCGCATAAGACAAAACAGGAAATTCACTTATACAGGCGCACACTCATAGACACACTCACCCACACACACACGCAACTGACGCATTCGAAAGGAAAGGAAATTCGCGCTGTTGAGCTTTGCATTCTGACATTTCATTTTCAAAACACAGATTCCAGTGAGAGCGCCACTCTGCTCTCCCACACTCTCACTTCCAAGCCTCTCTCTCTCTCTCGTACTGTTCTCTCACACTCTCCGGCTCTCAAGCTTTCCACTTTCCAAACTTGATTCCTTCAGTTTTTTTTTGTTCTTATTTGTATTTTCCCCGAGCAAATGAGAATGTAAACAAATGCCGAAGGCGGCCGCATTAACCAGAAATGAAATGGAATTGTGATACCACATGCATTAACACGCTTCTTGCGTGCCCAGGAATGCGAAAGTTAAGTTGAAAAGTCTGAGGGAGGGGCAGCGGGGGCCGGTGCGGTGCGGTGCAGTCACGAAGACAAACAAAGGGACCGCCACACAATTGGCACCACAACAAATGCCCTCGTTCCACTTGGACTCCAATTGGGATTAGGCCTCGCCTGCTTTGACATTGACATTAATTGGGGGGAGCCAGCAACAGCAGGGCGAAAGGGAATCCCCATTAAAGAGTGATTTAGGAAACAAGAACTTCCTCAATTGGGAACCAAATACTAGTTGTTGACACCCGTAAACAGTTCCTTTTTTACGGCCGACATTTTTTCCCTGTCACATTTCATGATTTCGGATTTTTGGCACAAAAAACCCGTGTTTAAATGGTTTCAGCCTGACATTACTTTTTACGTTCCATTTTACGACCATAATTCCAATTACAAGTTTTACATGAGAATGTTTATGAAGTTGCGAGAGCAATAAAAAGACAAATATATTTCCTACGTGCGTATACGTAATTTTTACTATCGCAAAAAAAACTGTAGCATACATCAAGGTTACAATAAATACAGAATCGAATTCTTAATAATATTTATAATCCAATCAAATATTAATATTCATTAAAAGATATTTTTAATGTAAGAAACTTAGTTTCTTAAAAAAAAATTAAAAATTTTGTATCCCCCTGTAGGGTATTATAATTTCAGTCAGAAGCTTGAAACGCAATGAAGGAGTCATTTCCGGCCTTGATCAGCATTAACAGCTGAATCGATCTAACTATGTCCGGATAAAATTTAATTTTTTCAAAAATTTGAAAATTTTATAAGGGGTTACATCATTAAAACCTAATTAAAACTAGCATTAAGAAGCTTTCCGAATTGAAATTAATGCATTTTTGGCTGAGTTATGATAATTTTTGTGATTAAACTGCAAGGGTATACAAACATTGACTTCCCGAAGTTAGTTTCTTTTTCCTTTTTGTTTTAAACTTACATTTTTTTTCATAAATATGTCGATTTCTAAAATTAATAAGTGGCTTAAATCAAGTTAACTACATAGATAATTTTAATAACAAAAACCCAATTGATTGGTTCTTTTAGTGTTTGCAAACCAACAAATTAACGAATATTAAATTGGAAAATAAATTTTTAGAGATTTTAAATCTGGGAACCTTCAGAAGCATTTCTCGGGGCCGGCCCCTTTAGCCATCGGCTTATCAAAGCCAACTGATAGGGTGCCTAAAATCATTTCAGTCGCAAAGATAACATCCCTGATTAATATATACACCTTTAAGGTGTGTTCATTATAGACCCCTCACCAATTGGCAATGCCTTAAAGTTCCCAAATTCATGTTGCTGGCCGAAAGGTAGACCTTAACCACGAATTATGCCTGAATGATGCTACAGACAAACCAACTTCAGTTTCAAGAGGTCCTCAAAGGCAGACACAGCTGCGGACATTAGGCATTATATACAAATTCCGTACAAAAGCCGGCAACCCGGAGAGAAAGACGGATATACAAATGGATTTCAAGATAGAGAGAGAAAGGAAAACACACACATTTTTGGGGGGTTGATTTTTGGGCGTTGAAAGCGCTTTTCACTAATTCAATGCGACATTGAAAACAGTGAGCTTGAATGCAGAAAATGCAGACTTTCGGGGGCCAACGGACACAGAGTGGCGGACGCAAGGACACGACGCGTACGGACAGGCATAGTCTGACTAGACGGAACCGGAAGGGCGTCAGCGTCTGGCGCTCAGCCAACCCAGAAAACCCCATTGAGGGGGGTGGCACCACATACAAACATACATGCAAAGATAGATGCAAAACCGGCAAAAGGAAAGCCATAGCCAAAAGGAAAGTGCCAACCTTGGTGGGGGGTAGCATGGAAACGGGGAGTCATGTCTGCATAAATTATGTATGTATATTTTTGGCCAACCGATAATCAACTCGTCAAAAGGCTCCTCTCATTTTTTGGCAGTCGATTTATTGGTTGAAAGGGTGCCAACGTAAAAAAAATCCATGAGCGCACAGATATACATATATCCATTACCGGGCATTGGCCATGAATAAGGTATGAAGAGCACGTGGCGGCAGCATACAAGAAGCATACGGGGTTCTGGCCAAAAGGGTTCGACCTGAATTGGCCATAAAGTGATTGTGATTTTCCCCCCTTCCCTTCTAGAGCAAATAGGTCGTGCAATTATTTGCGGTGTGTGTATGTGATTGCGGTTCAACGGGTCCGCTTTGGTTTCGGTTGCAATACGGATTCCGATCCACATTTCGTTTAAGGCCACGGGTTAGCAAGCGTACGTATTGGCCGGAAGACACAGGGACACCGGCCCCGTTAAGATTTCGGTCGTCGGCGGTGGTCAGAGAGGCTCGAAGATTTGGCGTCGCGAGCGCATCGAGATGACAAATGATCCTGACCTCGATGACTGTGCCTTTCTCTCCGGTAAGTTTTAATTGGGGAAATTATTAATTATATTGTCAAAATTATCAGTTAATCAAATTATTAAAATTATCAACAAGTGTATAGATTTTAATTTGTAATCAGGTAATAAGAGATTGATGAACTCTAAAATAAAAGTGCGCATTGTCTCTTCGAGGAATAAATGTGTTGCTGAAGATATCTAGTTTTACAGTTCAGGTTTTGTATTTACTTTTAATATTAGCATTTAATATATAAAAGTAGGAATACAGCACCAGTAAAAAATTCTGATAGAACAGTATAGAACAGTATGTACAAAAAAGTTATACATCTTTTTACAATAGATAAGACCTTATATATACCATATCTATATACTATATTTAATATATAGTATCTACAGAAAATTGCTACGCTTTCTAGTGAATTAAAAGGTATCATATACTATGAAATTAAATATGATGGTTTTATAATCATATAAATTATTATTAAAACGATATCTGCTCTATATTTTAAAGGACTTCCCCGAAAGAGGTATTGTTATTATGATGAAATCATGTATTAAGATAATTATAATATATTTTAGTGAAGTATAATCGATTATTTACAAAATCTAAGAACCCTATATCTTCTAGGAACCAAAAGAAACAACTATCAGCTCTTAAAAACTTCACTTTACCATATACACCAACATATTTTGTGTTTTATTTTTACCTTCGAAGCCTTTGCACCCATTTCGGGGGGGCAGTGGCAATGCAATTGCAACCCGGCAGATGAAATATTTACACAGCCCACCATGACTTTTATTCGGAGTTTAATTACATTTTCCCACCCCACCTCTGGGTGGTTTTCTTTCGACAGGTGGCGAATCGAGCGGCGGCCGACAGACGCGGACCGGAGTGGCCGTCTGCTCCCAGCGCCGGGCTCTACTTGTGGCCGGGATCGTGCTCGGCTCGCTGCTGCTGACGGCCATCATCATCGCCTACGCCGGACCGCAGAACGGTAGGTTTGCCCCGTGCCCGTGTCCCCAGGACCCTCTTCTCACGCCGTTTATTTCCATTATTTTTGTTCGAGTTTTTATTTTTCGAGTTCTCTCAAGCATACTCTACTCCCTCTCTCTCGCTCTCTCTCTCTCTCTCTTTCTCCACGTTCGTTTTTCATTTCCACCCACCGAAAGGAAAACCTGCAATGGCAGTGGGGCTAGCCCCCTCTTCTGTTGTTGTTGTTACTTGATTACGCTTTTATTGGGGGTGCCAGGATATATGTAGTCGAGTGGCTGAGAGCCTGTTTCCTTTGTGGCCTGGAAAGGGTCGACCGTATTTGACAGCTTTAAGGGTCGATGTCATAATAAAAAAGGGGATTTTTCATATAATACAAAGGCTAGTAATGTAATTTCAACAACCTTTCAAGTTTAATTATGTAATTATAGGAATTGTGTAACATTAATTAAATTATAAAAGGCTACAGAAATCAATGAAGATGAAATAAAACTAAGAAATATTAAATCTAGATCTATAGGCGCATAAATAATGCAACCATTGGCCTCTGTAATATTGATGTCTGACGGTTCACAGTTGGAGCCCCATAAATCCATATAAATGGTAATTGAATTCCTGACCGACAGCGTCCAAAGGCCGGCCATAAACCATCTGGCCAGTCAATCCAATTCCGCTCCAACCCTCCAGCTAATATGTATGCTTTTAACCGTATTAAGCGGGGGCCAGCGGCATCCATTACAGTTTGCTTATAAATAGATGCAGCTCGGCCTCACCTGGCTGACATCACCTGTCCTGTGGATCCTTTAGGCCTCCGTTCCTCGGCCATATTCAGTTGCAAAATTGCGGAATTATGCAAAGTGCAAACACTTCGCTCGCTGGAAGTTTCTGTTGCATACTTAATGGGGCTAAATGCATTGGGGGATAATTGAATTAACCCAAGGGAAAGAGCAAACAAACAAACCCCACGAGTGTGTGTCTGATGAAAAGTTAATTTCACTTCCCCCTGTGAGCTCAATTACCAGTCAACCTTTAATTTTTGCTTCCTCCAGAGAGCTCTGGGTTTAGAATCAAAGTACAGCCATTGCTTTCTTACATAATTAACTTTACAGTATATATATCCATAAGTCATATATCTATTTAAGTTCCTCACCCAATTTTGTTTCCGTTTTGCGTTCACCCTTCTCGTACACAAATTGTCTATTATATAAATATGAATCTTTGAAAAAAATATGAAATATTTCTCTTAAATGCTTGTTTGATTGATTGGTTGAAATGTGAGTAACAATTATGCCAAACCCGAATACTTCTAAACTGGTAAATAGCCATGATATTCCATATAATCCTTTTGGCATGTTGATGTCATTATCCTTTTCCCCTCTCTTATTATTTTCGTAATTTCTATCTCTAGATGTTAGCTCTTGGTTTTTATATACCTCTTTTTTTAGGTGGGAGGAATTGAGTTAATTTATTAGTTTTATGATTGTATATATATTAAAAAACAGTTACATCTTGATCATGAGATATATCATTGACAGGCAAGACATCAATCTTCATATAGATGGTTGTTACACACGATTTAGAAAAGGAATATGCACTCGAACCTATTAGGGGATCTCTTTCAGAAACAGTCTAGAACAGATCTATCAATCATTATCTATCTATATATACTTATGTTAATATTTATTTTACTCTAAAGATATAGTTTTAATTGTATTAATGTGGTAGCTTTTTCCTATGATGATCTCCTATATAAGATGTATTATTAATTATCATCCACTCTCCCATTCGATTTGACTCAATCGCGCCATTCAGCAAGAATGAATCTTTATTTGTGATCTTCCCCCATTTGAGTTCTGTTTACCCCAAATAGATGTGCTAATGACTTGAACCGAATCCAATTATTCAACCGATTTACTGCTAGCTTTTCTTTATGCAAAAACCCCCCTACAAAAACCCGTCTTAGATGATTTTCCCCCAACTCTCTCCCTCTATCTCTCTCTGTTGATTGTGTATAATGCAATTTGCTTTAACGAACTTAGCTACGAATCCCACTCCCCCCGTGAACGAGAAAAGTCTGCGAAAGGAGAAGTGAATTATCCTGAAATACAACCGATACTGATTATGCACCTTGAATATCCTTTGCAGACTGCTCCTGCGGATCTAAAACGGTGTCTGGTTACGATACGGATGAAGAGAACAACACCCAGCCCTTTAATCCAATTGCCACCAATGGGGAGCCCTTTCCCTGGCTGGAGAAGATGCTGCCCACCAGTGCGAGACCCCTGCGCTATATGGTTACCATTCATCCCAATCTAACAACGTTGGATGTGAAAGGTGAGGTCCTTGCTTCATTCTTTTAATTCATTTTAAGCAGGAATTAAAGGTAAAATTCATTTAATATTTAATGGAAATTGTCTGCGAATATTCACATTTTATGTGCCCCAAGGCTCAAATCATTGATGGAATTATAATTCAATTGTCTGACTCTTGCAACTTCTGCCTTCCTTTTTTTTTTATATATTTCCGTTCGTCCAGGCCAAGTCACCATCGATTTGCATGTGGAAAGGGAGACCAACTTCATTGTCCTGCACATCCAGGACCTCAACGTCACCGAGAAGGTAAGCAGCAGCAGGGGCAAAGCACTCTCAATCCGGGAGTTGGCAAATTAAGCCAATTAGCGTCTGACTCGAGTGCGTCCATTGATTGCATTGCATTTGCCGTTTCGGTTGCAGGCCATAGTGACCCCAGGGCCCAAGGGATACGCCCTTAAGATTGTAAAGGTGCTGGAGTTTCCGCCACGCCAACAACTCTACATTGAGGTGAAGGAGAAGCTGAAGAAGAAGTCCAATTATACCCTCAACCTGCGCTGGTACTCCAAGCTTAATCCGGAGCCAGAGGGTTTCTATGTTGACCAATATGAGAGCTCCAACGGTGTGGAAAGGTAAGGGCCATCCACCTATTCTTAAGAGGAAAAATATATATACGTTAATCTTACTCTTTTTCAGATTATTGGCAGCCACAGTTTTCCGACCGAATGGGGCGAGACGAGCCTTTCCCTGCTTCGATGAGCCGCATGTCCGGGCACCCTTCCGCATCTCTGTGTTCCGCGATCGCTTCCACATTGGTTTGTCCAACTCCATAGTGCACACCACCGAAGATGTGGGCTTCTACATGGGCACGGGACTGGTGAGAATAAATATATAAACAATATAAAATATATCCATTATAATCTGTGATTCCCCGCAGCTCCGCGATGACTTTATAGAAACGCCTCCACTGCCCGCCGATGCTGTGGCTTGGGTGGTAAGCGATTTCCAGCGTGAGTCCCTGCAACCCTCTGCTGCCTATATCCCCACCACAGTAGCGCCACCGGGCTCTGGAGCTGGTGGCAAGAAGTCTGCCCAGTTAAACAACTACACCCAGTTGAAGGGCAAGAACCCTCCGGTACGGAACATCACTGCCCTGACACATTCGCTGAATGTGAACCTGACGCCCCGCCAGAATCTGACTACTGTTCAAACGACGACGACGACAGCTTGGCCTGTGCATATCAATGGGAATGGAAAGCCAACGAATCTTACCTCTCTGTCCCAGTCCACGGGATCCTCGATCAAGAGGGCTCCCTCGTACACTTTCTATGCTCCGCGTGACCTGCTGATTCGCTCATCCTTCATCCTGCACACTTCACGGGATGTTTTGGAGTATCTGCAAACCTGGCTGGATATTAGTTATCCCCTCACAAAGGTGGACTTTGTGGCACTGCCTTCACTGGACCGCAACATGATCTCATCCCTGGGATTGGTGACCCTGAAGACTTCCTTCCTAACGGATCCCAGTTCGATTACCTCTGAACAATACCAATTCAGTGCTCTGCGGATTGCAGAGGCCATGGTGCGGCAGTTCTTCGGAGGTATCACTTCCCGCAAGGTGCTCAAGGATGTGTGGCTGTGGGAGGGATTGATCCAGTATTTGGGCATCCATACCCTGGCTCCGCTGCAGGAGAGCTGGCCTTTGAGGGAGATGTACCTGCTGAAGATGGCCACAGCAGCGTTGGATATCGATGCCATCCAAGGATGGGATAGCATCATGAATGGCACCAGTCACGATGGCAACAACGAGGAGTTCTTTGTCCAAAAGACGGCGGCCATATTTTCCATGCTGCACACAGCCATTGGCGAGGATCGGTTCAGGGGATGCCTGGGCTCGTTCCTCAAGGTGAATCGATTTAGGACCGCAGAACCCACAGATCTTTGGACAATTTGCACCAAGAAGGCCAATGGTTCGAAGAATATCAAGGACATGATGACTCTGTGGACACATCAGCCGGGCTTTCCGCTTCTCACCGTCACCAAAATGGGCAACAGCATTTCCATTTCACAGAGACCCTTCCGGCCTGCCGACTTTCTTGCCATCCATGATGAGTCGTACTATGGTAATAATTATAATAAGACGGCTCTCAATGCCACGGATATGCCCATCACAGTGCCACCCACAACGCAGGGAAGCAAACACAAGGCGGCTCCCCACATGAAGTGGATCTTCCCTGTCACCTATGTGACGGATATCAACAATGTCAGCGAAACCCTTTGGATGCAGAATGTGGATGGTAAGCTAAGGCTATCTTTTTGACTAGGTATAGCTCTTAAATCCCTACTCCTTAAACCTTTCCCAGTAACCTTCAATGTGCCGGAGAACGTCAAATGGATCAAAGTGAATGCCATTCAGAATGGTTATTATAGAGTGGTTTACAACGATGACAACTGGGCAAGTCTCATTGAAGAGCTGACCACTAATCCCAAACGCTTCACCAGTGAGGTAAACTCTCTAAGAATTTTATTTTAGAACAAAAATTAAATACCATTTCCCACCAGGATCGATTGGGTATGCTGTCGGATGCCTTTACCCTGTGCCATGCCAATTTGCTGCCCTGTGAGATCACCATGAACATGATTCTGTATCTGCCAAGTGAGACACATTACGGACCCATGGCCTTGGCCTTGAGGCATTTGGAGAAGTGGCGACGCATCCTCAAGTACTCCGAGTGCTTCCTGATGCTCAGCGAGTTCATCAAGATGAAGATCTCAACGGTTATGGAGAAGGTGGGCTGGTCGGATGACGGTGATGTGGCCACCAGGTGAGGAGGATAATTCTTAAACTTGAAGATCTTATTTAAACTTAGTTACCATTTTAAGGTTAATGCGTCCTGAAGTGATTTTGGCCTCGGTTCTGTGGGAGGACATCGATAGCATCGCCAAGGCCAAGAATATGTTAAATCAGTATCTGTACTACAATGGTTCAGCTATACCACCCAATCTTAGAGAGGTAAAGATTGATTTTCTATTTATATTGATTAATATTTGTAATAATTTATTTTGTTACCTTTCCACAGGCGGTTTACACCGGCTCAATTCTCTCCGGCGAGTACATCTATTGGCAGCATTGCTGGGAACGCTTTGTCACCCTTCAGCGGACATCGGAAACCTTTGTGGAGCGTATGCAGCTACTTAGAGCTCTGGGCAGGACCAAGGATGCCTGGCTGCAGAATCGCCTGCTGTCGCATGTGACCATGTTGCCCACCGAGGAGGTGGTGCAGGTGCTCAAGGCCATTGCGGGTACGCCCACAGGTGGTGCCATGGCCTGCCGCTTCCTGCAGGCCAAGTGGTTTGAGCTGGAGAAACGCCTGGGACAGGGCACAATCAGCTTTGCCAAGGTTATATCGGCTATAACCCAGTATGGAGCGACCAAGTTTGACTACGATGAGGTGAGCTAATCTCATACAGCTCCTGCTCCTAGATCTCTTGTACTAAACTACCTATCCTTTTCCTTAGCTCAATTCACTGGTGCATCGCTTTGGCCGGGGTCACGGCATGTCTGTGCTGAACATGACCTTGAGCAGTGTGGCCTCAAATGTCGAGTGGGTGGCAAGGTCACAGACATCGCTGTACAAGTGGGTGGAGGGCCACCTATACTTACACCGATAGAGGAGGCAGGACTCGGAGGTCCGCGCACAGCTCTCTCTTTAAACTCATTTGTAATTATGTTCCTCTCTCAGACACGACTCTCACGTGGACCCTGATTTCGCCGAGTTAACTAACACACACTATGGATCTGTACTCTTTACCATATCATTGCCAGTTCGATCGATCTCCTTGGTTTACTCAGTAGCTCTCCTATAATTTTAGTCCTCAACGAGTGGCCTCACTCACCTGTAAATTACGAATGCTATGATCGCAAGGAGTCTTTGTGTATATCTATTCCCAACAGGAGGGAGCCATTTCTAGCACATATGTATATGTGGATATCTACAACTGAACATAAGGATCTATCTATATATGTATATTGTATATGTATGTATATTTTACAAACCGAAAACCAAAATGAGAAAACCAAACATACTTAGAGCAATCGATAAATGTAGTTTGTAAGCAAAGAATAACAAAGAACAAACATATTTTTTCATAAAATCCAAAAAACAAAAGAGAAAACAAAACAAACAGATGAGGCCACTGAATCGAGATTAACTAAATCGCTAATGAATGCATTCTAGTCACTGTATAGAATATGTATATTAGAATTAGTGGGCGGCCTGCTCGTGTGTGTATCCGTGTATGTGCGCATCGAAATATCACAGAACTCTTCCTTTTGTCCAAAGATAATTTACTTAACCAACATAATCACCCTACCTAAACGTGTCCTGCCTGACCAGAAGCATTAATTCCCAGTTAAGAACATATTTTATGATCAGTATTAGCTTCCAGAGTCAGTATTTATTGTCTAATTTGTTATTAATTTTAAACTTGAATAGTTGATAACCTAAAAGGTCGGATCAGCATAGGCTAAACGATCGCCAGTATCAGTTGGGAAACCAGTTTTAATCACAAAAACTTGTTCAGAATTAAGAACAGAACCCAAAGATTTTCTTAACTTTAAAATCAGTAACCGCTTAGGCTAAACTGAATTTAAATATGTTATATGTATATGGCTGCCATAGGTTCTACTAACTTTTGAATAATAGAAGAAAAGAAGCATAGAATTTGATTAAAATTTAGGCACAACATAATCCCCATGTGGTCTAAGGTCAGGCAGGCAGAGATAAGTTAGGAGCTTGCGATACGAATTAATACCATAAAGACATATGTACATACATGGCATACGCGCTGTAGTTTGCTAGAGAACCCCAAAATCCAAAAATAATTACAAAAAACTAATTTAACACTGTTTATTTACGCACTCGCATAAGACATCAAAACGAAACTGATTAACAGATTACAACGTTCCATAACTACAATTTACCAAGTGTTTTACGATTTAACCATATCGCTGGTTATCATTTGATTAGTGTTGAGGTGTCTGTCCTCTAGATAGCCAGGTCTTCGAATCCAAAGTGTTTGTGTAAACTGAGGGAAGCCGCCGACTTCTGGCACCCAAATCATGGGGGCTTTTGGCATGCCGGTTTCTCATTATAGCCAAATAAACGTGTATCAGTTGGTGTTGCCATTGGCAGCGCCCCGATAAGAAAGAAGATTAGCTTGGGGTGGGTCAGAAGCGTAGTCTAGAGGGTTTCCTAGTGGTTGAAGCACTTCGCTAAGTAAATAAATTTGTATAAAAAATCCAGTGAGGTAAACCCCAGAAGTGAACAAAACCTCTTTTAGAGCTACACCTGTAACATCGCCGCTTCTGTCCCATCAAAGTGTTTCGCTGATTCAGAGTTAAACCTTCAATCATTTTTAAATATGTTAATTCATACACTAAATTTCCATCAAAGAAGTCAAGATCTTTGATTAGTTTTTACCGGAGAAACAGCAAAATTTCGTAGAAATATTATATTGAAATGGGAACTATTTTTTTGGCTAAAATACACAAACCCCAAGGTACCCTTCATAATTGCAACAAAGTCAATCGCTCAGAAGCCCCAAAAATCTAAATACAAATAAATACAGAAAGAGAGGGAGACAGACAGAGAGAGAGAAAGATAAATACAAAAAAAAACACAACCGAAAACAACTTTATTAGCGACAAAGATAGATCACAAAAAAACAAGTTTTGGAGCGATTTTACGGATTTTCGACAAATGTATAAACCAAACTAAAGCTAAACTATAGATGAAAAATGAAAATAAACCCAAAATAGAAATAATACAAAAGATGGAACACACAGCATAAGAAAGATACTCAAGACCCAGAAGCAAAAAGAGAAGTTAATGGGGAGATTTAGAAAGTTTTTACAGACCAACAAAGACAAAGAAGACTTTATTTTGTTTATTACACTACATTTGAGTTCAATGTTCACCCATTTCAACGTCTAATTGTATTGTACAATGCATATCCGTCCACAGCTTTGATTGATTTACAACATTTTGGGTTCCATTTAGTTCATCATCAGTCACACAAAAACACCTCACCCAACACCCAATCCTGCCCTTTGGGCTCCGCTTTATCCTGGAGTTGAAGAATGGCCTTTTCTTATTTCAAAAGATTGAAGGATACGAATTCTAGTTAATTTTATTAGACCAAATTTTTGTTGCAATTGGCATCAGTATATTAGAAATTATTAATTATGCATTGGCCATCAGGTTTTATATAAAGAAATTCGTGTAGGGAAAATACAAACAAAGTGTATCTAGGAATGCAATGGAAAGCAGGCAAAGCAACTCTAAAGACGTAAATCTAATTGTATGCTAATGATATATACACATCTATATATAAATATATATATATTTACATAATGTAATTTAAGTCAAATGGGAATATTAATAAATGCGATTACTAATCTGTAACAACAATTGTAATTGAACTTTAACATTTGAATAGTTTTTGGATGTCCTGCTAAATATAACAGGTGGGGCATAAAAGGTAAAGCCTGTGATGATAAAAAACGTTTTACGGTCTGATAAAATCACAATAAATTTGGTATGATACGAATTATGATGGAAATGGCTTTGCACCCACAAAGCTATTGTTTGTACTCGTCCAATTTGATGTTTCGATTTGGTATTTAAACCCCCAAAAAACACACGGAAATGCCTGGTGATTGTGGTAATCACTGTATATTGATTCCGGAATTGATATCAGTGATTTACTTAGAAACTTGGGCAATCTATTAATCATAACTGGGTATAAAGGTTCAATGCAATATCGAAAGTTTTTATATCATTGAAAAAGGAAGTAAATTAAATGCACATATATGGTATAATAAAATAAAATTGAACTCTTATACTAGGTAAGTATTATTAGTATCTTATTGATCAGCAAAAGCTAAATATTTCTTGTTTGTTAATATATTTAAGTACTTATTTTAAATTTAAGATTAAAAAGAAAGAAAGCTTACTTTGAGAAGCCAAAGATTTTACATAAATATGATTTAAAGGGCCGGAAAACAATCCTTCACTTACTTTAACACTTCTGATTAACATTAAATATACAATGTTAGATTATAAAATCTTAGTTAAAATTTTGAATTAATATATTTTATAGGCCAGTGTAATACCCATGTAAGAATTTGGGTTATTTTTCTGCTTTTAAAAGTTTTAATTGTAGTTGCTTATTTAAATTGGCATCTAACGTTTTAATTTCAATATTATTTAAATCTGGTCACCCTCTCGTGACTCTGAAACGCTCTTGGTCACACTTACTCCACTGATAACTGATCAATGAACAGATTTAAATATAAAAAAGTCGAGATAAAGACGATGATTCAGGGCCACACAGCACCACAGTAAGCGGAAGATCTCATCCACATATATTCGACTATTGAACTGCGTCTGAACAGCGCTCACAGGTGTGTTAAGCGGCGGCTCCATCAAGAAGCTGTTGTCGCACGCGCTGAGGAAAACACAGGGGGGGGGGAGGGGGAGCCAGAGCGGTCAGCGCAGGCAGAGACAGCGGCAGCGGCAGCGGGAGCACTTGTCTTGCCCTGCGCTATCTGCTCGCTTTTATCAGGCCCCAAGCTTGACGATTGGGGCCTCGGCTATGCGACGGCTATCCCGCACTCGGCTCCGTTTCCCCTCAAACCCCCCTCCCCCTCCCGCTGCCGACGCTGCTCTGGGCTCTTTGGTGCTCGACACGCCGCCGACGCAAACAGCTGAAGCGGCCGAGCGACGACTTTGTGGGCCATCGGCTGGCTTTTCAGTGTTTTTTGAACAGCCGTTCAGTGAATTACAAATCGACTTAGCTACACGCTCGCTCGCCTGCTCGTCGCTCTTACCGCGCTCTGTCTCTCTCTTCTTGTGCATCGCCCAGCTGATGGTCTGCTCTTAAGTGGAGAAAACACGTCGTATACGTAATATCTTAGTGACCAACTCTGCTCTCTTTTTGGCAGCAACAACACAACAACAAGTGTTTGAGTGTGGCGCGCTTTTCAAAACAAGCAACAAAAACAGGCTATAAAGCTATAAACTAAACCTAAACAAAGGTAAAAAGAAATACAACTAAAATACGAAGTAAAGTAAAGAATTAAGCGAAATGAAGTAAAAAGAATATAAAGGCGAAATAATTACACTTAATTCCGGGCAACCCAACAATTGCGTCGTTAAACCCCAACTATCACCTCTCCCCTGCGAAAATTACTTCCCCATTATTGTGTGTGTGTGTGTGCGCGTGTGTTCAGAGTGGGTGTGTGTGTGTGTGTATTCTAGGCATTTGCCCTAATCAACAAGTTCAATTCAATAGTGAATTTGGACAGGCCAGAGCTGTCTCCCTCTCTCTCTCTGACGCTACGCCATATTTTTGCAAATAGTATTTCTATTTATTATATCCATTTCGTTGGAAATTTTTGTGCACAAACAAAAACAGTTTTGTATTTCGCATAAATTTACCGGCATGTGGTCATCATCATCATTCGTGTGCTCTTCGTGGTCTCTCTTTTCGAAAGCTCTCTTTACGAATGAAACAATAACAAATTGTGTGTTATAAATAAATATTTACATTACATTGTAGTGTGTGTGTGTGTTTGCTAATGATAATGTTAATGATAATGAAAGTTCCACAAGGCGCACAGCAATTAAATAATATTGAAAACAATCAAAAAATGTTTCGAGTTACGCTCCATGAACTCTGTCTCGAATATAAAAATACAAATCTACTGGAAATATATATGTAACTTTGTGGCTACTTAGTTAGTGTATTATTATAGGCCCTTTTTTGGCCGGCCTCCCCCTTAATGTATTATTAAAGACTTTGTCACGACATTTCCTTAGTTTGTTATTAATATTTAGAGAGCCCCTCCTGCTCCACGCGAATTGAAAAGTCAAACTGCGTGACAATTCCCTAGAAACACGGACGGACTGTTGATTCTCACTCTTTCGACCCCCCCCCCAACCCCTCTCACCTTTCACTCACCTGTTGATGCGACGCTGACAGGTAATTGCTAAAATCAATATGTAATGTACGAATTCTCAATATCTGACGGGCCCAGGGCTTAGTAAAGTGAACTTTGCTTATTTGTTTTCAATTTACATATACAATATATCCCGCCTTTTTTCTCGTATTTATTTCCATGAGTTTTTTTTTTTTTATTTTTAATTATACCCAGACTTGGTTCATTCAAATTATAAACTGCGTCAAGCATCAGACGACAGCCTCACACGGCAACGAATAAAAACAACAACAATAGGGGGGTTTTATTAAAAACAAGACTTACAAATAAGCTTACATATCGAAGTTAACAATACTCTAGCTTTGTTGGGAATTCAATAGGAATGTAGGAAATTAGATTATATAAATTTAATTAAATATTTCTGATGTTTAAATACAAGAAAAACTATAAGTGCAGAGCCTTCACATTGATTAATAAGATTCAATCAGAAATTTGCAGGGATTTCTTTTGAGTTTTGAGTTAAATAATAAACTAGTTTATGCTAAATTGATAAAGTACTAAAAATTCTTAATTATTGCCGCAGAAATTGATCTTGGTTACTTAATAGTGCAATTTAAAGATTATTTAACCTTTTAACAATAATTTATTATAGATACATTCTACCTCAGCTGGTACACTTTAAATTTTAACTAAATATAAAAAAACTTTTATATAAAAACTGCTTCCCCTAAAATCTCCCGACCTGTTATCCAAATTTTTTTAAAGTTACAACAAACCAAAGCTAAAAGCGCATCTTCCCCATCTTCAGAGTATTCCCATTACAAAAAAAAAACCTTAAGAAACTGGTTTTATTTTTTATTATCTCGAGTCGAACAGATTTGCAATGTTGACTTGGTTTCGAGGAAAAAAAGCCGTTCAATATTAACCAAGTTAGCATTGTGATTTCACTGTTTTATAAATGTGAATGCCTGGGACCTGGAATGATTTGCATAAATGGGAGCTGCCTTAGATATCAAGAATTTATCTCACGAGACTTTGGGTAAACTCTAAAGATGATAATAACTAGAGTGTTGTGATAAAATTGAGATATAATAACATAAAGACAATTGAAATCTAGTGCTATTGATTTGTTATTATTGTTATGTCATACTTGACAGACTATTCAATTAAGTTGTTACTATAAAGTATTTAAATTGGTCAATGATATATTCCTAGAGATTTGGATTACTTTGAACTATTATTAATTGTTGTGTAACTTGTTGCAAGATGTTACTACAATTAATCTGTTATTAATCAACGAATACCTCACTTCTTAAATGAACTTTGGATCCTGCCACTTGTATTACCAGTTTCTTTCTGACCAGATTTTATTGTTACCAATCAGGCAGCCTCTCAGTTGTCTCCTCTTTAAAATTAACTCTGTTCTTAGCAACCAAACCCTTTCTGTTCACTTTAGTTACCTTTGTACTTGGCATTGTGCTGTTTTTTATATTTTTTCGCACATTGAGATGAGTCATGATCAACAAACCAAAGATCTCAGTAAGTTTCCAAACAGTTAAATTTTGTTTATTATAGAAGGCGGCTCTGAGGGAATTCCCAGAAAACCTTAAGCGTGTTATTATCCCCTTCAAGCGTGTATTATCATTTTAACTATTATTAATAAGTGCTATTTGATGTCTTCTCATCTTTCTGGGGGGTCTTAATTAAAAAGATAGTAGCGTACTTTATACGGAAAATTATCTAAGTACGAGTGTAAAGAGTAAATAAAACTTTGGAATTTTCCTGGTTTCCCTTTATCAAACTATCTGATGTATATAAAATGAAAAATCAGATAGTTAAATGTCAATGATGAATATACCCTTCCAATGCTATCAAAAATAATATTTGATAAGCAAATACAACAGATAAACTATTGCCTGATAGGAGTTCCCTAAATAAATATACCTAAATCAAATACATCAAAGTTGAGAGAGATTTCCTTAAAAGATGTTTCCCTTATCGATCACTTGCAGAACTTAAACTCATGACTGGTTCCCCATAATTCTAAAATAAAATCATTTATTTCTCCATTATGATTCACTTGAAAACGCAATCTAATCGGAAAAACCTAAGACCAAACATTGGCTGATGTAATTTGCATGGCCTAAAGTCGGGGCTCACTGTACAGCGATAATTCGCGCGAGGAAAATGTTTTATGATACTGATATTAAATACTTAGTACCCCCATATCAATTGATAGATAGTGAGAGCTGGTTATCTTTTTTTTCTTCCAGTATTCACTGTTGTTGCAGCAGGACATTCACTGTACTTATCTACGTACGATTCGGTGCGAATGTGTGTAATCTCTTCCATAAATGGCAGGCGCAATCAAGAAATAAACAAAACCATTTAAGTGTGCTATATCTGTAGTTAGCATTCCAACAATCGAAAATCGCTTATCAGTATTTATAGCCTGGTTACAGTGAAAGTTCGATAAGTGGGATGGAGTTCGAGGAATATTAGTAAAGAAAATAATATTTAAAGTTGTAGGTAAATGTAGTTCTTTGGTATTTTTAAAATAGAACTGTATATCCATATAATTTATGTCCATATGAAGGAAAAAGTAATGGAAAATATTATTTTTGTGGGGCCAGAACATTAACATTATAACATTATATCCTATTAATTTTTAACTCAAACCCTAACTTATTTTACTAAAATATAGGTCTTAAACTAAGATCAAACTTGGTATATGAGGGACATGGAAATGAGGGACATCCGTTCATAATTCAATATTCAATTAATTCCCTTGAATAGAGTCCATAAAAATCGACCCATCCTTATCCTTATCTAATTGTGTGTGGCGCTCGCTTTCATTTCAGTTAACTTATTGACTCATCACCATTTGTGCCGAACTAAAGAGTAATCATGATCGACCTAGAGGACCTGCCCCGGCTGCAATCCCTGTCCCCCGCCAAGGACATTGAGGACACGTATCACCAAACCCAATTGCTACTTCCGCCCAATCCCAAAAAGAAGGTCACCGTCCGCGTGCCCATTGGACCACCCTCGAAGTTGGCCAAACTGATCAAGCCCACGGTGGCCTCAACGCCGGCCGTTCTGGAAACGCCTTCACCTCCGGTCTCACTGGAGACGCCGCCAGATAACAAGAATCCCATCTGGCGAGGTGGCTTCCACTTTACCACCCTGGTAAGTATTTCGAACGGGGGAAGGGAGTATTAAATCCAATTTGCCAGCACAATATAATACCTTTCAGAACGCTCTTTATCAGAAAATGACCCCCATCAATCTTAATTAGTTTCTATGGGTCAGGTTTTTGTGTAAATAAAAGATATTATTCAGTTAACTGTGTGATTCACCCAGTTTGATGGACATTATTTATTGTCTAAATATAAAAGTTATTATTCAAAATCGATGATGATTTATAATTAAGTAAAAAAATTGCTGATTTGAGGTATTATTTAATATTTCGTCAAAAATAGGGAATATATTTCAATTAAAATTGAATAAATAAATAAATATATAAATTAGTACTTTGGAATTTAATTTAAGTTAGTTAGTTAATCAAAGTGCTTAGGTATGGAAATATTATAATTTAAAAGATATTCTTAATTAATTTCCTAACTGCAGCAAGCGTAAAAACAAAACTCACTAATATATTTCTTATAATTATATGATACTTTATTATATTATATGTTTATATACCAAGGTAGTAATTTAAGTATATTTAAGCTGTTTAAAATGCATTTTAAAGCAATCACATTTTATGCAAATTTGAAAATTTTATGGACACGTGTCCAAAGCTCTACGCATTATTTTACATACACATGTAATTACATTAGTGGATCAATTTCTCCACTGAAACACATAAACCCAAGAACCCATTTACACACAATCTAAAAATAGCTGCTAAGAAGTATTATACTACAAGCAAATATTTCTTAATTAAGCCCAAAAACAGCTAGAAACATCTAAACAAAAAGGTAAATGCTTAAATTTAATTACTTTACACCGAACGATACTTTCACAAAGCAGCCCTGCGAAAAAAAAGCTCTCCGCTAGAGGCGCCAGCACGATAGTACTCGATACTTTCGATAATGTCATCACCACCAGTGTGGGGAATATCAAATTGTTGTTGCCAAGCGAAGCTTTTTGAGCTGAACAGACGTTTTTGTTTTGCCGTGCCGTCGATTTGGAAATCGGAGAAATTGCCAAAAGTTGACAAACAAACACGTTTTTAGCGAACCGCAACGCAACGCACCACCACGTAGGTTCGGCGGTAGATGGAAGAGAGTGCCAAAGCGGACGCGGCGATAATTTCGCAAAATAACAGTGAAAGAGACGCGTAAAAGTGCGAAGTACAGGCGGCAGTCTGCTTAACTGTGCGCGTGAGTGTGTGTGTGTGTGCTGCTAGGGCGGCCGTGTGAGTGCTTGTGCCGGAACAACAAATGGAAAAGTTACGAATTTGTTTGCCTATGACGATTACAATCAATTGCAAATAATGTTGCATGCCCCACAAAATAAGTGCAACATCATGCTGCTCTGTGGTAGTGGTGGATGAAGTTACGACCAACAGGCTAGCAACAACAGTTATTCAGCAACCGCGCGCAGTCTCTCTCTCCCGCTCTCTGTGTCTTTCTCCCATTCCACACGCTCAGCTGACAGACTGCAATCAGAGACAGCAGCGAAAATCAAAAGCGAAGAAAAAACGAAGCTCGGCGATTTGATAAATAATTTGTTGATGCAAAGTGTAGAGCGAAGGTTGAAATGCTGCTGTGCCGGCTGCCAATTACTAACAATAAGTTGTTCTCGGCTCATTCTCGAAGTTTCCAAATCGCGCATTTCCACATTTGTTTTGCTCTCTTGCCCGCGTGTGCTTCTGTGTGTGTGTGGTGTGTGCTTCTCCATAAAAATTAAATCGTTTTGCATTTAATTGAATGCATTAATTGTTGCTACAAACAGAATCCGCAAGAAAAACAGCAGTTCTGTGCTTCTAAGCATTTCTGTGTGAGTGTGCGTCTGTGTGTGTGGTGTGTTTGCCTGTGTATTTTTTGTGTGTGAGTCAGACAAATGCGAAGAAATGAGCGATAAAAGCAAACAAAGGAATAAATCGCGATGTGCAGGCGCAATACACGAAAAAATATTAGGCAGCACACAAAAACAACAAGCTTAGCGAAAATATTTTTTGTTATTAACAAATGACGATTTCACCACGCACACGCACACACACACTGTCACCAAAGTGCGTAGCAGACAAACGAAATGGAATAAGCAGAAGAGGAAGCAGCAGCAGCTGTCAGCTTGGCAGTACAATTTAAATGCAAATTGTTATTAATAATAAATTGCAATTAAATGCTACTGGTTGCCTTGGGGGGAAAGGCAAAGGAGAAATTACCTATAACTTGCCATAAATGTGTGGATAATAAAACAAAATTAAATGCGTGTTTTGCAGCCATTTAAAGAAAAAGAAAGAAAGTGAAATATAAACAAATAAAGCACTGCAGAAAGTGAATACCTCTGTGTGTGTGTAACTGTAAACAATAAAGCATCATTCACCATTGTGTGTGCGGCAAAAGGAAGAAGCAGCAGCAGCAGCAGCAACACCTTCAGCATTTACTGCGCCGCAGCCTTTTACCGTTGTAGTCAGCAGCAGCAGCAGCGGCTGTTAACATCCCAAAAAAAAAATACAAGGTGAGTGCACTGCAATACATTCACACAACACACCCACATACACGCAAGAACCCTACCTCCGTCACGCTCTCACCTATTGCACATTTAATCATTTCATTTCATTTCATTGAGGAACTGCTCAATAAGTCTTTCGTTGTGTTCGTGTTTGTGAGCTAATCAAAATTTATTTTTTTACCATTACTTTTTGACTGATTCCATTTGGCCATTTATGTGCATTTGCCAATTGCTTAAAAAACAAAGAAAGTTTATATATCGGGCCTCTAACAAACACACATTTTTGAAGCATTTTGTTGTTGGCCCGTCCTTGAATTGGGTTTTTCACATCGGCCACAGTGCGCACATTTTGAGCGAGAGCGTGAAGAGACCTTGAACAAGTTCAAGTTCACGGCGTTTGTCTGGGTCATTCCTTCCTCTATGCCCCTTCCTTTCACCCCCTCCCCCCGCTTCACTTTTTTTGTGTGTGTGTGGGCGGTTGTCTGTTAACCCCCCATTGGTTGGTGGGGTCAGGATGGGCATATTTAATGCGTAGTAGACAACGTCAAACTCTTGTTTGCGGCCCAAATCGGGAGGAATAAATAAGTCTCAGTTGGTTAAATAAACGTGCAAAAATTCCACAACTGAAGGTCGGTTTCCAGGAATTTGCAATTAAATTAATAATAAATGCTTTCGATGTTGTTAACCTGGTTTATTTTTTTAACATTTACATATTATTGATCGAACAAATAATGGTATTTTATTTACCCTTTGCAGGGTATCATTATTTCAATCAGAAGCTTGTAAGGTAGTGAAGGAGTCATTTCTGACCCTAGCATTAACAGCCGAATCGATATAGCCATGTCCGGTCAAAAAATAAATTTTAAAATTTTTTCGAAATTTTATAAGGGGTTACATCATTAAAATTTTCAAAAACTGACAAAAAATTGAATTTTTTAAAATTATAATTTGAGTATACCGATTTGTTAGCCTTATAAAAACTAGCAGTAAGATGATTTCCGAATTGAAATTAATGTACTTTTGGCTTAGTTATGAATTTTAAAAATGTTTTATTTCTTGAAAAAATGGTCATATAACAATTTTTGTAAGTCGATTCACATGATGCTAATATTTGAAGCTTAGTTATGATCGATCTTCGATAAGATCCTATAATTCAATTGCAAACTGCAAGGGTACATAAGCTTCGGCTTTCCAAATTAGTTTCTTTTTTAGTTTCTTAATGCATTGGGTGCTATTATTTTAGGAACCTCTATATAATTATGACCATTAGCCGGGAATCTTAAAAGTTTAAAGATTCATTGTTCATAACATTTGTCTCATAAAAGTAGAAGTTAGCAGTTTTTTATTGGTTTTTATGCTTTCCATAATTATGTTTATTTCCTTGAAAATATATAATAAATGGGAACATAACACTAACCAGATACAATAAAGGTGCTATTAAGAATAAAGTTTTCTAGGTCAAACTTCCTTCCTCTTCATAACACAAACTAGTTTTACTGACAATACTTCAAAGTTCCCAATGTGTGGTATATCTTTTTATCAGTTAACCCATTTATGGTTATGAAGATATGACACTTTGCTAAACAGAAAAATCTATATTTACTTAAAATCTATTACCCTGTCGCTGCAACGGAAACAAGACAACTTTCTTTTGAGCACTTCCTCATTGACAAAGCTTAACAACATCGTATGGCAAACACAACAAAGGCCGAACATTTCGAAACAAAAGCATTTTCATTTAGCATTCAAACTGCATATGGCCATGCAGTCCCATGTATTGAGATAGATATATATATACTTTTTAACATATTATAATGCTTACTAATTCCATTCTATTTGTTGACACATCTTGATCTGCTTACAGAACGAGCCCGAGGACAGTCATCAATTAAGAGGAGCATTGGTAGCTCGGGGATCGACGGTGGAACTGCGGACTTTCAGTTTTTGCGCAGAATTCGGAACGCAGCGGAGGCGGAAGGCGGGACAAGGCGACGTCATTGAACGCAGCGATCCCGGACAACGCAGCCGTTGAGCTGTTGTCCGGGACGGAGAGGAGGCGGGCGGAGGACGGACCACGGACAACACCCACGCATCCATTCACATAGACTGCAAGATTTAGACGCAACACAATGATCTCAAACAAAAAATCGTATGCGATGAAAATGTTGCAGCTGGCTCTGGCCTTAAGTCTGCTCCATTACAATCCGGATTATCTGCTCCATCGCTGGGATTCGCAGCTGGAGCTGAGCTCCCACGGCGATGGCTGGGAGCTGGAGATGCTGCGGTCGGTTCACCGACTGGATATGGACCAAAATCCCTATGGAAATAGGAAGGGTTTGAACCCTCGGATCGAGGATTTCCTGAATTTCGATATACCCTCCTTGGGTGGCGTAGGAAACGGAGTGGGCGAGTACAAGCTGCCGCAGCACTTTAATGGCAGCACCTTTGTAATGAATCTACACAACACCACCGGCAACAGCAGTGTCCAGACGGCAGCTCTGCAGGATGTGCAGAGTAGCAGTGCTGCCGGCACACCGAGTACAGTTGGAGGAGCCAGTGCTCCAACCTCTGGTGGTGGAAGCAGTGCCTCTGGCCTGGGCGAAATTAACATTGACACCTCATCGCTGGCCGCTGGAAATGCCAATCACTCGTTGCTGCATCCTGCTCCGGAGCTGGATATCTTTCTGTCGCCACATTTGCTGCAGGATCAGCGCTCCATCTGGGAACAGAATCTTGCGGATCTGCAGGATTACAACGATCTGCCGCTGCAGGCCAGTCCGTATGCGAATCTACCACTCAAGGATGGCCAACAGCAGCCTCCGAATAGCTCTCATCTGGATCTCAGCCTGGCGGCGCTCATTCATGGCTTTACAGGTGCAGGCATGGCCTCACCCTTGAGCAATGCTGCTCTCAACGACAGCACTCCTCATCCCAGAAATCTGGGTAGCCTCACTGTGGAGCACTTGGAAGCAAACAATTCGGCAGGAAGGAACGAAGACTATGTGGAGGACAGCTTGTATTTGGGTCGCCTGTTTGGAGAGGAGGAAACGGATGAGGATGAGAGTGAAATGGCCAGTGGAGCTGCCAATGCCTGCGAAGTGGAGGGATTGACTACCGACGAACCCTTCGGCAGTGCCACCTTTGCCAACGAGGTGATAATTGGAGATGAAGAGGAGGTAACCTTTTACTATGATATCATTTTATTGTTTATTATTAACCAAAACTGGTTGAAACCGATCTTTGGTGCTATTGCATCAGTTCTATTCCCTATTTATTCTCATTTTTTAGTATTTACCTGAACTAAAGTTGAGTTCTTGAGACCCAGAGTAAATTTAACTAAGAACACAGTTTACATTGTGGGGGAAAACATATCTAAATATTGATTTAATGCTATTTCAAAGTCCCCAGGGACAAAGTCAACATGAATCACTGTACGATTTCATTTAAAATCATTTTTTATACCTTTGCAGGGTATTATTATGTTTGAAAAATCAATTTTCGACCCTATAAATCATAAATATTCTTAATCAGCATCGACAGCCGAGTCGATCTAGCCATGTCCGGTCAAAAATTAAATTTTTAAAATTTTTTTCAAAATTTAAGAATTTGATAAGGGGTTACATCATTAAAATTGTCAAATTTTGACAAAAAATTTAATTTCTTAAAATTTTTAATTGAGTATACGGATTTGTTAACCTTATAAAAACTAGCATAGGAACGCTTTCCAAATTAAAATTAATGCTTTTTTGGCTTAGTTATGAGTTTTTAAAATCTTTGATTTGTAAAAAAAATTTTCATATTTAATTCGAATATTTATGGCTAATTTATGATCTATTTCCTATAATATTATTTAATGCAATTGTAAACTGTAAAGGTATATAAACTTCGGCTTCCCGAAGTTAGTATCATTTCTGGTTTATTATAGGATTTCATACTTCTCGGGTCTTTCCCTTAATTTTTATACCCTTGCAGGGTATTATAATTTCAGTCAGAAGTTTGCAACGCAGTGAAGGAGGCACCTCCGACTATATAAAGTATATATATTCTTGATCAGGATCAACAGCCGAGTCGATCTAGCCATGTCCGTCTGTCCGTCTGTCCGTCTGTCCTTCTGTCCGTCTGTCCGTCTGTCCGTTTCTACGCAAACTAGTCTCTCAGTTTTGAAGCTATCTGAATGAAATTTTGTAGTTAGCCTTCCATATACTCTCACTCGTATATATGTCGGAACGGGCCGGATCGGACGACTATATCATATAGCTGCCATAGGAATGATCGAAAAATTTGTACAAAAAAATTTTTAACTTTTTCAGTTTTCAATAGAATTGGATCAAATTTGAGATATAGCCATTTTTCTATACTCTACAATTTTGCATAAAATTTTATGAAAATCGGACTACTATATCATATAGCTTCCATAGGAACGATCGAGAAATTAATACAATTAAATTTATAACTTTTTCAGTTTTCAGCTGATTTTCATCAAATTTGAGGTATAGCCATTTTGTATTAGTCTTAAATTTTGTGTCAAATTTCATGAAAATCGGACGACTATGTTATATAGGTGCCATACAAACGATTGTTTGATGTAGAGGAAAAATGCAAATCTGCGAATGTAAAACTGCAAATATAATATGTATAGGTGAATGAAATGAAAGCAGGTATTACTTCATTTCTTTTTTAACACAAATAAATATAATTTATATTGTTGAGATTCCAAGTCATAGAAGTTCTGTCTGCAAGGGTATATAAACTTCGGCGTACCGAAGTTAGCTTCCTTTCTTGTTTCCTAGTATTTTTGCAAGATAGATGATAGGTGAGATAGGTCAAGGTTTCTTATTGAAAACGCCCATTTTTTCCAAGTGTAGTTGTAAACGGCGATGACTTTGATTTGACTGATTAAAAACACTCGAATGGCACCACCTGCAGAGCTGTGTGTGTGTGTGTGTTTTCGTGTGTATTTTGTTGTGCTCATTATCAAACAGTTTTGCTGAAAAGCTTTTTGCATTGCTAATGAAGAGTCGCGAACCCATCGCTTGACCCATTCTAGTCTGTCGTTTGATTTAAAACACCTCTTCAGAGTTCTCCCCTCGGTTTCCTCTTTTATTTCTTTCGATTTCTGTTAAGCTTTCTTTATAATTATAGTTTATATGTTTTGAGGTTTCACCAAAAGCCAATCGATATTCAAATGCTGCTTTCGTTTTGTCTGTGGTTACCCGAGTTTGCGAAATATCAAAATTTTTGAGCTTATCAGTAGATAAGGGCAGCAACTTTGTTTACACATCAGCATGACTGTTGCCACGGTTATCCACTGATACCAACAATCTCCCAATGACTGTACGCTATCTCCTACCAGGTTTATAAGTAGCTTAATACCTCTAATTGAGAAGTTGTGATCGGAATCAATAGATTGGTTTTTAGAGAAGATATTGCTATGATTTGGTAGCATTATTCTAGACATATATGCTACAATTTAAATGTTCTTTTATATTTCAATGTTTTTTAAAACTTTTTTCTTGGAAAAACTCTTGATTTTCTTATGTCTTTCGAGATTCAAGCATAGCTACTTTCACCATCTTTTCGGTCACATAGTTCACAATATTATATACAAAAACACAAATATACCCGGCAATTAGGTCATTAAACGTTTTGACTGCGCAAAAAACACATTTAAAAAGCTGAGAAGAAAAAATTAAAAACCAGACAAGCAGACAAAATAAATTCATTAAATATGGAAAGAGGTTTTTGTCAAAAAATTAAAAATTCAATTTAATATTGTTAATTATATAGCAGGGGTAAGAATTGAAATATATACAAAACCCTGCAGTTGCTTGAAAAATATTCTCAAATATTCTATAAGCTGAAAATCCATTTGCTTAAACGTTTTTTAATTGCTTACAAGCAATATTCAATCGTGTGCAAATCTGATTTTTATAGATATATGTACATATATATCTCTTGGAGCTGATATTGCTTTCGTTTTTTTTGTAAATTATTTTTAAAAATCGCATTGAATGTCGGCAACAAATGTGCGACAGTGCAGGCAGCAATTTCATTATATGCCTCCGAGTTATTTTTTGTATACTTGCGAATTGCAATTTAAATATGCATAAATATTTATACTTGGCCTGGTCTGGACAGTCGGGCCAGGAGAGAGAGACAGAGAGAGAGATGACTAACTCGTTGTTATTTTCAATTTGTTCTGTTGTTTTCTGTGTTCTGTGTTGTTGTGTCGTTCCAACATGTCACGAATGTTTTCCATTTTGGCCGATGACGGTTTTATTTATTTTTTATTTGTTGCTCTGTTTCATGTATTTTTTCTATGACTGCGCTCTTGAGCGATCACATAAAAGAGGCTTGCACATAAATATGTTTTTCATATGCGTGTTCTTTTGATATGATCTAATTAAATGCATTCGGCATTCGAGCATTGCATAATCTTTGAAGTGATTGCTATAATGTCTTAATCATTGATTGCCTTTGTTCTTTAAATGGGCTGCATGCAGTTTCCGTAATAATTATAGTTTATTACTAGAACAAGTATTTATGAAGACTGTATTAGGGGTATTGCTATATTGAAAATGACAGGATTTAGAGTCAATAACTGCTGACTTTTGTAGGAAAGTAGGATTATTCATCATCTTTATTTTCATTAAGAATTTTTTAAATATTTAAATATATTCTATAATTGTCAGAGAAAAACAATTGGTAAACCTAATTTACTAAACATATGTTCTTAAATTTGATGAGCAAAAATGTGATTAGGGATTCTTTAAGACTTTGTTAAAATTTTCAACTTGAAAAAGTTATCAATAATTGTTATAGAAAAACCAAATTAACTTATAATCGTATCTTGGAATTACCCATTATAACTGTATTATAGATTCTATAAAAATCTTGATAAAAGAAATTGAATTGAAATTACCCATCTTATCTGTATTATATGTAGGTTCTATAAGAATCTTGATATAAAATTTACTGGGTATTTTATGGTCGATAGCCTTGATGTCTTGCCATTCTTGTTTTGTAATTGCAATTGCTGTCACCTGGTCATCATTAATCCATAAATGTATATGCAAATGGAGAAGAATGGCAAGCAAGTTAGTTACAGCCACAAAGAACACTAAATGGACAGGTGAATGTGTCACCAATGCTACCATTCTCCCTCCCTCTCTCTCTGTGTCTCTTTTAAAGTCAGGTGAGAGAGGTCGCTGTTTATGTATTGGTGTGACCTCATCACACTCACTAGCGTGTAGCTCACGAATTGAGCTCAAAAAACTCAAAAAAACATAACTCTATTTTGTTGAATGTCGTCCACCTCGCTTGCTGAACTCTCTTTCCCCTCTCCCCTCCCCTGCCAGAGCGGCTCACGCTGTCTTCCACTAATTGCAAATCTACAAAGCTTTGCTTTTTGCGCTTCGTTAACTCATTCGCTTATACCACATACATATGCACATAGATACATACATATATACACACAAATACACGCGGTCAGCGCTTTCTGCTGCTGCTGCTGCCGCTGCTCCTCAAGTCTGTCTTATGGGTGTTATTTTTGGGGTCTCGGTCTCGCGTTTTGATTCAGCTTCGGAAGAATAAATATAAAACCTGCCCATAAGCGAGTAAAAAAGTTTCGTTGAACTTCGCTTTTGATACGTTTGGTGTGTTTTTGTTTTTGTCTTTTCAATGCTCTTTAGTCATGAGATCACATCTCTCTTTCTCTTGCTATCAATCTCTTAAAAGGGGGTTATATGATTTAGAGTCAATAGTTCTTTACTAAGAATATGCCTTGATAACATTGTTATCAAACTTATTATTGTTTTTTATTCATATTTATGCTTTATAATCTAGTAGGTAAAGGTTCTTTGCCAAAAACTGGTTTTTATTATTGATGAAATTTATTTAAAAGCTGCTTACTTTCATGTATTAATATTTTTAATTGCAGTTTCATTTTAATCCTATCGTGTTCTGTTAATAATTCACCTTTTAAAATAGTTTAACCGGTTAAAATTTTAAATATTTTTAAAACAAATATTTCGGCTTTCTTAAAAATATTTATCACACACTTTTGATTCAATTTGAGTTTAATTTTCCTAACTACAACTAACAAAAATCATTTTATTTAATAGATAAAACCAAATACCAAATTTTATTAATATATTTAAAAAGATAATATTTAGTA